CTTGAATCCGAAAGTCTAGACTCTAATCACTAAGCCACCCACCCCCTAATGATCCCCTGACCATGCACATTTCGTCATCTAGGGCAGAAGTTTAAAACTTGAAAATAATTTCCAGCGATTTCTCAACTTGACCATTTTAACATGTAACATGTAATGTTATATGAATTGTGTGACATCCTGTATAAAAATAGTATTCGATTAATTTAAAATTTAATTATCGCAGCATGCAATATTCCTAAGAAAGGGAAATTCCGTAAAGTGGGAGTATAGTTGGCAGTCGATATCCATATAGTGTCTCGAAATTTCATTTTCCGATCATATCTTGAACAAATTACCAGTGTCTGGCTGTAAACAGCGGAAGCGAATGTAAGCGTTTTTTTTGTTTTCCTTCCTAACTACATAAGTTCACTGCTATTTCTACTCAATTCCAACATCACAGAGCTGTTTCAATTTAAGCATAATTGATATTGGTGTTTGGGGCTCGTGGGGCTACTGATGCTACTGATGAAGACGATCTAACAGTGTTAGATGGAGATGCTCTCTTCAAATACATAGCGATAACTAAAAATTCACGAGGCTAAAACATGTTGCATATCGTACGATGAGATTTAAAATTTAAGGGTGATAGTACCAGCATAGTAAAAGCCTATTTGTTACTTAATCATTGCATTTATTTAAATAAACAAATTCATTTTTATATATGTTGAATCTTATTTTTTAAAGGTTACAAAAATTCTCTTTTACTATTATATATAAGTTTGAATTGATCTTCTATTGATAAAACTAGAGTTTAAAAATTCTTACAAGCCTTCTAAATAAAAAAAAGAGAATCATTGGCGCCCCTCTCCTTCCTGAAAACTATTTCCCCAAAAGTGTCTATTAAAAAAGACGAATTCACGACTGAGAAAACAATATGGTCAATGTGCCCATTTATTTTTTAATTTGATTAAATGGTTGTTATTAAATTTCTATGAGCTAGTCAAAAGTGTTTTCAGAAATAACGATTTTATTGAAAATTAACGTATTTTATTACAAATTAATGCAATTATATTGCAAAGTAACGCAGAAATATTGCAAATTGGCGCTCCATCGTGCCGATTTATTACAAACATTGAAAATATATTTCTCCTAAAATTTTACGACGCATAGTTTCTGAAATAAAGCCACCAACAACCGAAGTCCTTTATTATTTTCACATCTTCTACATAAATATTGCCCACAATTTTTAATTATAAATATGGACTTTTTTATAGTAAATACTTTGATATGTCAATGAAATCTATTATGGATTTTTTATTGGACAAGTATTAGAAATTGAAAATTTAAAAAAACCGACTTCAAAAACGTGCAGATGCCATCACCAAATCTTAACCAAATTTATATGGGACCACCCCTGGGGTACCCCCTTACTAACAAAAAAGAATCATATAAATCGGACAAGGTACAAGGGACAACATACATAAAAAATAAAGAGTGAGGATTTTCTCATGGACCCCATTATTAGATTTATATGGGACCACCCCTGAAATACCCCCCTTTCTAACAAAAATCATTGAAATCGAACACCGTGTTAAAGAATTATTGCTGAACATATATAAAAAAAATATTGCGACGCATTAAGAACCTCCTCCTTTTTTGAAGTCGGTTAAAAACAATTAATACCGCGTCAGGTATACATACATATATCCACAAATAGGTCCTATGTAGCATAAACAATAATAATTTATTCCGGAATAGGAACAATAATACAGTGAATTATTACTAAACGACAATTTCTTTGGCAAATACCAATACGCTCAAATTAATCAAAAAAACGTTATCGTATTTTTATATATCCTAGATGTTTTAAATAAAAATAAAATTAGGTTAGATAAATATAGAACTCGCCAGATTATTTCCGAATTATATTCTTTTATCAAATTCCAGCTACGTAATGCTTAACACAACGCAAACCTTTTTATAATTTTCTTATAATAAAATGCAATTATTGTATGTATTTAGTAGTTATTAAAAGTTAAGAGTTTTACGTTATACAAAGCAAATAAAGAAATTATTTTTTACATTTTTTCGCACTAAGTGCGGAAAAGTAAAACTACAATTAATTGGTGCCCTTCTGAGTTAAGTCAACCTTTATTGAACCATTTGAACAACTACTGTCCTGATTTAAATTAACCTTCATCAAGCCATAATATTAACTACCCTTTCGCGTTAAGTCAGTGTTCATTTGCCACATGTCAATAATTATTCTTTACTTATATTATGAACAAATAATTTAATTTTCTATTATTATTTTTTATTGTTATGAATTTTTTTGTTGTATAGTTTCTGTCTGTAAGGAAAGTATAGAAATTATGGTTTTTTTCGACGGATTTTTTCGTTTTGGGTCCCCTGAATCCGTTTTGACTATTTTCGCGATGATGTGTATCTATATGTCTGTTTACTGAAAAGGTCATGAACGGATAGTCATTTAAGCTTGTAGAAGAAAATTCTTCAAATAAAAGTTGCTTGTAATGCTATTCTCTGTAATTTTTGTTCTATACATAATTTTCCTAAAATGGTCCATATTCGAGAAATTTGACAAAAAGTGCAAAATTCAAATTTTTAAGAAAATTATTTAAATAAAAGTTGTTTGTGATGTTATTTTCTATAATTCTTATCCTACACATAATACTCCAAAATGGACCCTATTCGAGGTATTTGAGAAAATGTGCAAATTTCGAATTTTGAAGATAACAATAACGGATAAAGGGGTCTATTCTGTAAAAATTCCTTTATATTTAACGGCCTTTAAAAATATTGGCGGCCTTTAAAAGTATATTTGTATTCGTTAATTTACTTCTGTCATTATTTAAACAGGTTTCTTTAAGATAGTACTCTAATGTATTTTAAAGATCCGTTTAAATAATGACAGAAGTAAAGAAGACAATATTTTTAAAGGCCGTTAAATATAAAGGAATTGTTACAGAATAATAGACCCCAAAGAGAAAAACACTAAATTTTAAATTTAAGCTTTAATCCGTCCTGCGGTGAACTGATTACATTTTGGGTATAGTCGGAATATCTGAGGGGGTACTTTATAAGTGGTTGTTTTTCTACTTTATGGAATATATAGGTTATTTACCCTTGTAAAAAAAAAAATTAAATATAAGTTGCGTATAATATTATTCTTTATAATTTTTGTATATTACAAAATTTTCCTAAAATTTGACAAAAAAAAACAAAATTCGAATTTTTAGGAAAATTGTTCAAATAAAATTTTTTCAAATACATGATTTCTCTAAAATAGACCGTAATGGAAAAGTTTGAGGAAAAGTGTAAAATTTTAATTTTTCAGTATTTTCGTTGGCAATGAATGTATATATAAAAAAATATTTTTCCGCCTACCTCTATCCAAAGTATACATTTCCTGACCTCATTGCAGGGAGCAAAGTCATACTTTTCCTCCCTAGGGAGGAAAAGTAAAAGTGACGTCATGGTATGTCATAAATGAAATAGCTTATACGGCATTGACGACCTAAACTATATTCTATTATATAAGTATGAATTTTACCGTTTATTTATAGAACACCCTGTATTTTGCAAAATAGTAAAAATCAGTAAATTGTTATTTTAATTTAACGATTTTTACATTAATAATTTGACTTCAATTCATAGATTCATCCGATTTTCGAATTTAGGACAGAAATATTATAGCATGCTATGGTCGATTGACAGATCAGTTTTAAAGTGTGTTACGCTATAATATATCTACAAAATATAAAATAATATTTAAAAAATGAGTAATTCAAGCGAATTTAAAGATATAAATAATACACCACCGGATATTTTTGAACAGGTTAATGCAACAGTTCAATCTCTATTACCCCAAAAATCTAAAGAAAAATACGAAAAACAGTATTTACATTTCAAGCAATGGGCCGAAGAAAAGCATATTCGTACTTACTCAGAAAAATAATTACTCTACCACAAATTAAAAATATGTAGGATGCAAGAATGAAAATAACATGCCTATAATTTATACTATACCTACTTCATAATTTTAGTTCTTTAATAAATTTTGTTTATTACCTTCATAAATAAATTATTTAAAAATGACTTGTTATTTGAGGGAGGCGGAAAAATCATATGTTTTACTTGGGAGTAAAGTGCCTTTTCCTCCCTTGGATGTTTACAGTAAACTTCATCCTGCGGGAGGAACAGTGACACTTTCCTCCCTAGTAATACAAATAGCTATTGAGTAAGATGTGTATAGAAAATGTATGTATTTAGTTCATCCTCTCAACATTTACAGGGGTGATATAATAGGTTATACAAAATAACCGGAAAAAGCCTGTAATAACTAGATAGCAAAGTCATATGTTGTACATATCAGATTTTTTATTTTTATTGTTATCTGATATGAAGCTTGGCGTGTCGTTCATAACACACAGGAAAATAACTATACAACTACCATATTTAACATGAAATAGGTGTGTTGTTTGAACTCATACCGAGTATTAAATAAATCAAAACTTAGTAATAATTCAATGTGCGATTTTGGTACTTAAACGAAAAAGTGGCGTAAATATAATAAAACCGAGGTCAAAAAGTACTCGTATTTCGGAAATCACCAAACATTCGTAATAATTCTGTGAAATCGCCCATGGTTCTGTGATTTAGGTTATTTCGCCGAAATCATCGTGTATAATTTCCAGTGGATTTGTTTCTTATCAACCTTTTCTTGCTCTCAACTTTTGTTTTAACTTTATCCACCACCTGCTGCGTTGATATTTCGTCGAGTGAAAAATTGATTTCGATGATGATTTCGGCCATGATTTTCGAATTTACATATTTTTTGAAGTTTTTTGATAATCCACATGAAGGGAGTTTGTTTAATAGTGGCATACTATACTTGTTTTTTTTACTTAAAAATGTATCATTTAATTTTCTGTTAATAGGAATTTAAATATATTTTTACTCAGTTTTTAATCAGTAACTCACCATACAATTTTTTGTTACAGTAATAGTCGGGAGCAGAGAAACAAAGCAGAAAAACAAAGGAGGGACAGACTGAATTCGTACATTGGAGAACTGGCCACTCTGGTTCCAATGGTGTCCAAAAGTGCGAAAAGATTAGATAAGACCAGCATCCTCCGACTGACAGCAACACATTTAAGGATCAAACAAAGTAAGAAAATAGCTAATTATAATTATAGTAATAATTTTTTCAAATAGCTATTACAACAAATTTATATTTTTTAACTAACCAAACCTATTTTAAAATAAATTCCTAAGTTTTTATAATTTTATGAAAAGCCATCGTTAAAAGCGACTGAGCTTATAATTAGAGAAATGTTGATGTTAGATTACAATAGTGCTTTTCATCGTCTGATTTACATATGGGTGAGGTGTCTATATAACTATATATCATTGAATCTTTCTCTTCTAGTACACGAGCCCATCTTAATTTTATACATTTTGGGGAACACTTTTTGAGATAAACAACCAACCGTATGAGATTGTCCTCATTTCGTCTACACTCCATATTTGACAGGAAATTTCTGGGACACCATGTATTTTTGTGGTTTTAAAATGTGTCACTGTCAATAGATTGAATATCCCCATAGATATAGAAACCACATGTCGCCATATCGATTTGTTACTAGCATTGCATGTATGGATTCATTCCATAAATATTTTATTCGACGCCAGTCATAACTATTATAAATGATAATCAGTCAATGAATGTATATAGTCATTATTTTGAGAAAATTGTAGTAAATATTTCAGAGTAATGATTGGTATCTTTGAATACAATTAGTCTAGATTATGTCTAGTTATAAAAAATGCATTGAATATATTTATGAACTAGGTAATGCTCTGAATCTTCACTTTATCGTTTACTGCCTACATGCTACCATTAAATACAGAAAAGTGTGTAGTTATGCATATTAGTAAGAACAATTCAAGACTAACATACAGTGAGGACGTATAGGTTGGAATAAATTCGATATTTTTCTTTCTAACAGTATTTTACAAAATGCTTTCTACTACGCGTCTTGCGCTACAAATGGATGTAATGACGTGTACAAGACGTTATCTTTTTTTTTAACAGAACTACAAATTTTTATCTTTATTTTTGAATTTCCCAATAATAGACGATTACAAAAATGTATATATTACTTATAGTCCAAAGTCATTGGTTGGAATTAGAGACAAATTGTTATATCAGAAATTTTAGTTAATACCGTTTTTTTTTTTTGATAAAAACATACCATACTTATTAGTTAATTAGTCGCCTAATTTGAACCAGTTTTGTTAAAAAATACAAATCTACTTTTCTATTTTGTTTTCAAGTAAAATCAGGTATTACAGTTATCTTTTGTTTTGAGACTGTAGGTAACAGTTTCTAAAAAAAAATTCTATTTAGGATACCACTTTAATAATTGAACCTTTAGTGGTAGCATAAATTAAACTAAAAAATAAATAAATTTACAAAAAACTTACTAATCTACTCTAATCAACCTAAATTGGACCAATACATTTAAGAAACACTTTCTGAATTTTTCTTATTTTGAAATTTACTACGGAATTTTTTTTCTTTTCAGTTTTACAATAAATTATTAGTTTCTTCAATGTACCATGTACTTGTTGAGATAAAAACAATCAGATTGATAATAAAAAAAATAGCAAGACATTCAAATTAGATACAGTGAACAATATACAAAGTATCAGTATCATAATCAATTTCCATATTTAAAACGCTATTGTCATATTATGCATATATCACAAAAATATTTTGAATATATTTAAAAGTGCTATTACCATCTGAATTTGTCCATAATTCAGTGTATATTAGCCTCTAAAACTATCATTATTTTACCTGAGAAATATTTAGTTTTAGAACTCTTTATTTTTAATAAATAGCTTGCTACTTAAATAGTCAAAATCATAAAGTGGTATCACTGTAAAATTTGTTTCGGCACCTATTTTTAAGGACTTTTCAGAACAAGTGTCTAAAATGTTCTCTATATCTATGTATCTAAATAACACCAAAAAAATGAAAGGGGTGATTCTGTGATGAAAATTAATGTGAGTGTTTGGTATAAATTTTTTTGAAAAAACCCTCTCCGGAAAAGTTACACCCCTTCGAAAATTAAAAAAAATAATGGTTTTTCTTTTTTATTTTCCCTGTATATCAAGCTAAAGATACGAAACTTGGTAAACATTATCTGTCAATAAAAGTACACTTTTTGAAATTTTTTCAACCCTGAAGTATGCTTAGAAGGGGTTGAAATATTCAACCCCTAAGATATTTTTTCTTACAACTTTTTTTTAGATGAAAATTTTTTTCTTTAAAAAAGTATGACTGAAAAGCCCAATTCATTGACTAACTTTTTTAACTCTACAAGTTTTTTCTAAAACTTGAGCATTTACGAGAAAAAAATCTAATGCAATGCATTTTCAAAAAGATGAGCTAACGCGAGTGTATTTTGCGTCGTCTAGTGGCCTGTGCTTTGCATAAAAACATTAATACTGATACCAGGATTGTGTAGTGTCATTTTCTGTTACCCATCTTATTGTTTCACAAGTTTTATGATTGTGTATTGTAGGAAATATTAGTTGATTGAAAATATGAATGCATATTCGAATTTGGAAATGGCAGATATGCATTTTACATACGGTCGTGCTAACGGTAATTCATTGGAAGCGCAAAGACTTTATGCTGAACAGTACCCACAGCGTAGACTACCCCATCATACTACGTTCACAACTATTCACCGACGCTTGCGGGAACGTGGTAATTTTGAAAAAATAAGTTATGATTCTGGTCGTACTAGAGAAGTTAGAACTGCAGCTGTAGAAGAAGCCGTACTTAATTCAATTGAAGAATTCCCAGAAACTAGTACCAGGAGAATAGCTCGTGTCCTACATGTAAGCCATTCCGTTGTTTTTAAAATTTTAAAAGAACAAATGTTGTATCCCTATCATCTTCAACGGGTGCAGGCGTTAATGATTCGAGATTTTTTACCCCGTGTGATTTTTTGTCAGTGGCTTATTAATATGATTGGCCAAGCACCACAGTTCTTAGTTAATATTTTATTTACTGACGAGGCGAGTTTCTCAAGAGACTGTATTAGAAATTTTCACAACAATCACCTTTGGGCTGACGAAAATCCTCATGGCTTTTTTGAAGGAAATCATCAGTATCAATTTTCATTAAACGTGTGGCTCGGAATTATTGATAATCATTTAATTGGTCCCCATTTTCTTCCGCTACGATTAAATGGTGAAGCATATTGTCATCTCCTTGAAGAATTACCTGTTCTTCTTGAAGAGGTTCCCATTCAAATTAGGCAACATTTATGGTTTATGCACGATGGTGCACCAGCTCATTTTAGTATACGTGCAAGAACTCACCTGGATGAGGTGTATGCCAATCAATAGATAGGTCGAGGAGGACCTGTAAACTGGCCAGCCCGCTCCCCTGACCTTAATCCTTTGGATTTTTGCATATGGGGATATCTGAAATCTTTGATATACACAAACCCAGTTGAAAATATCGATGATCTGCGAAACCGCATTGTAGCAGGGTGTGAAACTATAAGAAATTCTCCAGGAATATTTCATCGTATACGCAATTCTATGAGGAAAAGGGTAGATGCTTGTATTGAAGCTGAAGGCGGTAGTTTTCAACATTTATTATAATTGTATTGTCGATATTCGACAGGTTTTTGTTCATTGTTTGTTCACTTTTGTTTTTAGTTGTAGAAGTCTTAAGAATCATAATTTGGTTGGCTGTTGTTTAATAAAATGCTATTTTACATGAGCTTATTTATTTTTTTCTCATAAATGCTTAAGTTTTCGAAAAAAAACTTGTGGAGATAAAAAAGTTAGTCAATGAATTGGGCTTTTCAGTCATACTTTTTTAAAGAAAAAATTTTCATCTAAAAAAAAGTTGTAAGAAAAAATATCTTAGGGGTTGATTATTTCAACCCCTTCTACGCATACTTCAGGGTAGAAAAAATTTCAAAAAGTGTACTTTTATTGACAGATAATGTTTACCAAGTTTCGTGTCTTTAGCTTGATATACAGGGAAAATAAAAAAGAAAAACCATTTTTTTTTTAATTTTCGAAGGGGTGTAACTTTTCTGGGGAGGGTTTTTTCAAAAAATTTTATACCAAACACTCACATTAATTTTCATCACAGAATCACCCCTTTAATTTTTTCGGTGTTATTTAGATACACCCTGTATATAATGTAAACATTGCTCACAAACCGAACAATATAACAAAAACGTTATTTTGAAATTTTAAACCCAAAATCAAGAAAGTAAAAGAATAAAAATCATAAAAATAATATTTCAACAAAACATGCATTGGAAAATAAATGTGCACTTTTTTAATTTTGAAAATTTATAAATCTTTGAAAAATAAATATCCTTGAGATGATTTGTATTAAAAAAATATAAACTCTGTAAATAATAAAACTGACAGATTTGTCAAATATTTGTTTTAATTTGATCAACTAGTAAACTATTTAATTTTTACTGTAACCCACCCCACTGGTAATTTTAAATTCTGTAAAAAATTCTCTTTTTGTTTCCCGAATAATAAAAAGGTTATATTATTTACAAAAAAATCAAAATAAACCTTATATGCTTTTGACAAAATTGTTGCAAATTAAATTTAACCAATAAATGACAAGGATTATTATATATTGTTAATGGGATTAAACTTTTTTTTAATCACATGGCATTAAAAGTAACACTTCAGTACCTAAAATCAAAGATTAAAAAAAGTTTAAGAATTATCTTTAAAAGTCACTGTCTTCATTATAACTACTGGTATAATTGTCATTGTATTTTCTGAGGTTTATTATTATGGGGTCTATTAAGTTTTCTATTGCTATATCCAGTTTTCAAAATGAATTTTCCACCTTTTTAACATGATTTGCATTTTCTCCAATGTTCTCCATTTACATCTGAAACTGCCTTCAAATACAAATTTCGCACATCAGGTAATTTAAATGTTGTATTGTTTCCAGAAACATAACCTTTTAATTGTGACCAGATCAGTATAATGGAATTTAACTCTGCGTAGTTAGGAGGCAATCTGAGAAATTCAATTCCTTTTTCTCGGGCCATCTCGTCTATATTTTTTAAATTTGTTTATATGTTGCCTTGC